GCAGAACAAAGCAAGAATGCCCAGTAGTAACCCAATCTAGACAAAAAGGGGAGTTTGAACAAGTAGCAATGCCCAATACCCGATACAGTACGGCTCCTCCAAATCAGCAATTCAACAAGTAATTAAACCGAATACTACCAACCTCAACAAGTAGAGCATGCAGCCAGACTCTCTAAAGCAACAAGAAATTTCAGAAATAACTCACTAAAAACCCAAAAGGAACCTCAGCAAATTATCCAGCAATTCAAGCAAAATAATGCCCAGCAATTCACAACGAGGTAGCCAATGTCTACAAGTAACGTGAGGGTTAAAATGTCTCCCAAAGGCAACAAACAATCATAGCAATTCATCCTCCCATCAAGACATATAACTTCCAACAATTATAAGACCCAAATATAAATTGGCCGACACACGGAGCAAGCAGCAAAAGTGGACAGCAGCAAGACAAATAGCCCGTCAAATAGATATCCAACCACCAGCAAATTAAAAATACCCAGTGCCTAACAGGGAGTCAACGGGAGCAGCAATTTGCACAAAGGAGGAAAACAAAACACAAATAGAGCCTCTCTAACTCAGAAGTTGAACACAGACGACTACCCTGCCCGAGAGGCCTTCCAAGTATCCCAGACAACTGCCAAATTCCAACCCAAAAGTTTGAATAAATGTCCCTAGCACTGACCTCTCCCCGTGGCCGAATGACGGAGGGCTTCGCTGTGGGCTTCGTGCGCAGGGCAGCGGCGACGTGAGCAGCAGAGGCGGCCGTGGACTGCAGCGAGCTTCGTGCAGCAGCGGCGGACGGTGCGCTTGGGCAGCGGGAGAGGGACGGCCGACGTGCGCCTGTGGGCTTCTGGCTGCGTTCGGCAGTGGTGGGCCGCGGCTGGCTGGCAGCAGTAGAGGTGGACGGGGGAGATCTGGTGGTGGAGGGAGGGTCGCGGGCGAGATGGGCGGCGATGGAGAGAGAGATCTGCTGACTGGCGGCGGCGCGCGGACAGCGGCGTGGCGGGCGACGATGAATGGATTCGGCTTTCCTGCGAACGTGACGCGGGCACGTCAAGAGGTCAAAAGAGCTCCCAGAAGTTTCAGAATTTCCTGATCGTGAGCGTCCTGCACATCACCACGCGGGCACGTCATGAGGGCAGGAGAGCTCCCAGAAGTTTCAGAATTTCCTGATCGTGAGCGTCCTGCACATCATCACGCGGGCGCGTCATGACTGAAGGTCGCCTACAAACCAGTAAAAACGAAAACTAACACCCAAAATCAGTCAAATTTAAGGAAAACAGATTCAAACAATGACAGGAAACCAATAAACAATTAAAAGGAACAATTGGGTTGCCTCCCAATGAGCGCCTTTCTTTAATGTTTTCGGCTAGACATTGTCCAAAAATTTGCTTAAACTAAGCAAGTAGGGTCCTCCAAGTGCATCACCTCCACCCGTTCAGTTGGAACCCCTTCATAATACGGCTTGAAACGATGACCATTCACTACAAATTTCTTCTCAGCTTTCAAACTTTGGATCTCGACTGCACCATAATGGAAGACATTAGTCACAACAAAAGGGCCAATCCAACGAGAACGTAATTTACCTGGAAATAACTGCAATTTGGAGTGGTATAGCAGAACTTTTTGCCCACACTCGAATGTCTTACTTGAGATCTGTTGGTCATGAAAAATTTTATTTTTCTCCTTATAAATTACCGCATTCTCATAAGTTTCATTGCGAATCTCCTCCAACTCCTGTAATTGTAACTTTCTTTGGATTCCGCCCTCCTCAATATCCATATTGCATTGTTTAACCGCCCAAAATGCTTTATGCTCGAACTCTACTGGAAGATGACACGGCTTACCAAATACCAACCTATAGGGAGACATCCCTATAGGTGTCTTGTATGCCGTCCGATAGGCCCAGAGTGCATCTTCCAACCGTTGACTCCAATTTTTTCTATCGGGGCGCACCATTTTCTCCAAGATGGACTTTATCTCCCGATTCGACACCTCCGCTTGACCATTGGTGTGGGGGTGATACGACGTCGAGACTCTGTGGAGTACACCATACTTGCGAAATAAGGCAGCTACGGTTTTGTTGCAGAAGTGCGTTCCCCTATCACTGACAATAACTCTTGGCATTCCAAATCGCACAAAAATATTAGATCTGATAAAATCTGCAACCACTTTCGAGTCATTAGTTCGAGTGGCCTTAGCCTCCACCCATTTAGACACATAATCAACTGCCAACAAAATATACAGAAAACCAAATGAAGTAGGAAAAGGGCCCATGAAATCTATACCCAGACATCAAAAATTTCTACAAAAATCATCGGAACTTGGGGCATATGATCTTTATGGGCTATATTACCTACCCTTTGACAGCGATCACATGACTTACAAAACACATAGGCATCCTTAAACAATGAAAGCCAATAAAATCCACTTTCTAAAACCTTATGAGCAGTTCTCTTGGGTCCAAAATGACCTCCACAGGCAAAAGTATGACAAAAAGCTAAAATTGATTGAAATTCCACTTCACTTACACATCTCCTCATTATTTGGTCTGCACATCTCTTCCATAGGTACGGGTCGTCCCAAATGAAGTACTTGGCGTCACTCTTCAATTTATCCTTTTTCGCTTTTGGCCAACCTGCAGGAAAATCACCCGTTACTAGATAATTGACCAAATCAGCATACCAAGGCAATTGAGAATTTAAGGAAAATAAATGCTCTTCAGGGAATGCATCCTTCAATGGCTCATTATCCTCCCCAATTGGTATGCGACTTAAATGGTCTGCTACTAGATTTTCTGAGCCTTTTTTGTCTCTTATCTCCAGGTCAAATTCCTGTAGTAGCAGTATCCACCTGATGAACCTCGGCTTTGCATCTTTCTTGGTCATTAGGTACCTTAATGTTGCATGGTCAGAAAATACAATTACTTTAGCACCTAGCAAATATGACCTGAATTTTTCTAAAGCAAAAATAACTGCAAGAAGCTCCTTCTCAGCGGTGGAGTAATTCAATTAGGCTCCATTCAATGCTCGGGATGCATAATAGATGACGTAAGCTGCCTTCCCTACTCTTTGCCCCAGTACAGCCCCAACAGCATGATCACTGGCATCGCACATGATCTCAAATGGCAAATTTCAATCGGGGGATTGGATGATTGGGGGTGAAGTCAACAATTCCTTCAGCTTGTTAAAGGCTCTCTCACACTTATCATCAAACTCGAAGGCTACATCTTTTTATAGGAGTTGGAACAACGGGGCTCCAATTTTTGAGAAGTCCCTGATGAACCTTCGATAAAAACCTGCATGTCCAAGAAAAGAGCGCACCTCCCGCACACTCGCGGGGTAAGGTAATGCAGAAATAATGTCTATTTTAGCCTTGTCAACTTCTATGCCCTTAGACGATACAATATGACCCAGGACTATCCCGTGCTCAACCATAAAATGACATTTTTCCCAATTAAGCACAAGATTAGTCTCTATACACCTTATCAGGATCAATTTCAGGTTATCTAAACACGTATCAAAACTATCACCATACACACTGAAATCATCCATGAAAACTTCAATAATTTTCTCCACGTATTCAGAAAAAATACTTACCATACACCTCTGAAATGTTGCAGGTGCATTGCATAACCCAAATGGCATTCGTCTATAAGCAAAGGTCCCGAACGGGCACGTGAAAGTTGTCTTCTCTTGATCCTCTAGGGCAATTGCTATCTGAAAGTATCCTGAAAATCCATCCAAAAAGCAATAATAAACTCTACCAGCTAAACGTTCAACCATCTGATCAATGAAAGGGAGAGGGAAATGGTCCTTTTTGGTGACGGCGTTTAGCCTACGGTAGTCTATACATTGCCTCCACCCAGTGGGCTTACGCACTGGCACAAGTTCACCCGTTTGGTTGGCCTCTACCGTCACTCCTGCCTTCTTTGGGACTACCTGGACCGGACTCACCCAAGGGCTATCAGATATTGCAAAGATGATCCCTACATCTAACAATTTTAAAATCTCTTTCTTTACAACTTCCATCATGAGGGGATTGAGCCTCCTTTGAGCCTGCCGTACAGGTTTGGCATCCTCTTCTCGTCTAATCCGATGCATACAGACGGCCGAGCTGATTCCCTTAATGTCTGCAATTGTCCAACCTATCGCCTCTTTATGCTCTCTAAGGACCCGGATCAGTTTCTCCTCCTGGATTTTTGACAGTGCTGATGAGATAATCACCGGGAGTGTCTCATTATCACCTAGATATGCATATTTCAGGTGCTCTGGTAGAGGTTTCAACTCCAGTACAGGTGCCTGCACCACAGATGGCAATACCCTCTGGTGAGGCTCGGGAGTAAAAATAGGTAAGACTTCATACCTCTTCGTGGTGGTCTGCAACGAGTGTAATGCCCCTATTGTGCATTTTAAATCCTCACCCCACTCCATCTGAGGAGTTGTCTCCAACTCGAGGTGCTTGGTTAAAGCCACCTCCAGCTCATCCCTGCCATCAGTTTCAAACACTTCCTGCACTACAGGGTCAATAGCACTCACAGAAAAAATTGAGCTAAAGTTGGAGTTTGAGGGGTACTTCATAGTATCAAAAATATTAAAATGCACAATTTCCCCATCAAACTCCATGGACAGAATACCCTTATTAACATCAATTTTCGTCTGTGCTGTGCTCATAAAAGGTCTACCCAATAACAGAGGTGAGGGATCAGGGGAGTGATCATCATCCATATCAAATACATAAAAATCAGCTGGAAACACCAAATCATTAACTTTTACCAACACATCTTCAACCAACCCATCAGGATATGCATTAGTTCGGTCAGCTAATTGAATGATTAATCCAGTTTCTTTTAATGGACCTAATTTTAGAGAAGCATAGATAGACTTAAGCATGACATTTATTGATACTCCCAGATCCAACATGGCCCTTCTGATCACAGTATTACCTATCTTACAGGGAATAGTAAACATACCTGGGTCCCCGCACTTTGGTGGGAGCTTCCTCTACAGGACCGCAGACACATTTTCCCCAACTATGACCCGTTCATCTCCCCTCAATCGCCTTCGGTTAACACACAAGTCCCTTAGGAACTTGGCATATTTTGGTACTTGTTTGATGGCGTCTAAGAGGGGGATATTTATCTCAACCTTGTGAAAAACCTCCAAAATCTCCTTCTCCTTATCCTGTTTCTTTGATTTTTCCAACCTGCTAGGAAAAGGAGGCGGGTTAGTTTTAACTGTAATTATTGGGTCAAGAAGTACCTTTGGATCTGCACCATTGCTGTCCTCCCTTTCGAGCTCATTTTCGATTTTCTCTTCATCCTCGTCCTTGGGAATCACAGGTTCAGGCCCCTGAATTTCTTTCCCACTCCTTAGGGTCATTGCGCTCACGTTCTTCGGATTCAACTCCGGTTGAGATGGCAGCTTCCCTTGGTTCTGGGACTCCAAACGGTTGATTCTGGTGGCTATTTGACCTATCTGATTCCTTATGTCCTGCATTTCGGAGTCCGTCTTTTGCTGATTTTGCATAATAGCTGCCTCCGTCCTTTGCTGATTTTGCGCCATGGTTGTCATCATTTGTTTCAACATCTCCTCCGTAGATGAACCAGATTGAGGGAATTGAGGTGGTCGGGGTTGGTATTGCTGCTGGTACCCTGGTGGCTTATTTGGCACAAAGTTAGACTGCCTGTTCGGCGTGAAGTTGGGTTGCCTATTCCCACCATAACTGAGGTTGGGATGATCCCTCCACCCGGGGTTGTAGGTGCTTGAGTAAGGGTCGTACTGCTTCCTTGGCGCGGGCGCGTGGTCAGCCATATTCACCTGTTCTGCAGTTTCTTCCTGAATCATTGGGCATATGTCTGCAGAGTGGCCTACACCAGTGCAAATCCCGCATACCCTGGCTTGTGATGCATTTCTCACAGCCTGTTGCCTAACAAACGCAGTCAACTCATTTAACTGCTGCTGTATAGAGGATGTCTCTACCTCATTCACCCTACGTATTGGGACATCCTCTCTTGTACTGAATTGCTGTGAATTCTCTGCCATCCCTTCTATTAACTCCCGTGCTTCCTGAGGGGTTTTGTTCACCAGTGCCCCTCCACTTGCAGCATCAATGATGCTCCTGTCTCTAAAAATGAGCCCCTCATAAAAATATTGTATGATCAACTGATCACTTATTTGGTGTTGGGGGCACCTGCGCAACAAGTTCTTATATCGTTCCCAATACTCGTAAAGTGATTCCCCTGGATGCTGCTTGATCCCACAAATTTCCTTCCTTAGACTTGCAGCCCTGGACGCAGGAAAATATTTATCCAAAAATTTTTTCTTCAATTGGCCCCACGTGGTGATGCTACCTGGTGACAGGTAGTACAGCCAGTCTTTCGCAGAATCTTTCAAGGAGAAGGGGAATGCCCTCATTTTTATCTGCTCTTCTGTGATTCCCGGGGGTTTCATACTATTGCACACGACATCAAACTCCTGCAGATGCTTATACGGCTCTTCACCTGGTAAACCATGAAAAGAGGGTAAAAGCTGAATCAGACCAGATTTTAGTTCAAATGGAATGTTGTCATTTAAAGCGGGGAAAGTAATGCACAAAGGCTGCTGAGTTAAATCAGGAGCAGCCAACTCCCTTAATGTTTGTGCATTAGCCATGGTGAACTCCTCCTGGTCAGAGTCACTCGAAGTGTTACCAAACGAATCTGTTGGTTCAACTTCTGACTCGGGTCTTTGAGATGTAGCACTAGAGTGCTCTTCTCTGAGCTGTCTGGTTTCCTTTCTCGTTCTACGCGCGGTCTTCTCTACCACAGGGTCAAAAACCAAATCACCTGTGCGAGAAGATCGAGGCATACACTAGAAGAAAACCAGAAAATTAGGACAAAAATTGAATTTAAAAAGAAACAAATAATAACGCTAGTCCCCGGCAACAGCGCCAAAAATTGACAGGTCGTCAACCTGTGCAATAATAATAATAAATATAGAACCTAGCTACCACTAAGAGCAGTCAATAATTAATCCTAGGTACTGGAGCAGGGACTCTAGGTGTGCAATGGGTTACTTGATTCACCCTGTTCCCGAAGAGTTTGCTTAATCCGATATACCAGAATTAATTAATTGACAAAAATTACTAAATAGTAGACAGTGGCAAGTAGGGTCGTCTCCTCAGGGACTGGAGATATTTGTTTCTTTTAAAAGTCCAATTGATAAGGGGGGATTTTACTGGAATGAAACTAAAAATAATCAGACAATTTAATTAAAAAGTGAATAAATCACTAGCACGAATATAGCAGGAATTTAATCAGGAATAAATAAATTCTAGCCAAGGATACAACTACTCAAGCACAGTCCCTTTATCTGATCATTGATGCAGCAGAGGTTCACTTAATTTATTAATAGGCTAGTTATAGTCCGACGACCAATTTTTCCTTAAATTATTGATAACCAAGGTACGACCGTTGATTACCCCTAATCAGCAAATACTCCCAGGTACGACCATAGGAATTAATTTTTCAATTGCATTAATAACTAGAAAAACCTAACCCTAATCAATAACACGCTACGAGGGTTATTTAAATTAGATCGTACGTTCCCCTAATGTGTAAACACACCAATTGCCACTAATATTAATCAATCAAACAATTACGGATTTAATTGACTAAATTGGCACGAGATTAATATATCACAATGAACATCGGGCCCTGGACATCCAATTAATAAAACAATCCCATGAAAATTAAATCAGGCAACATGCAAATATTAATAGATAAAGGAACACGTGAAAACTAATTAGATCTCACAGATTTTCGGGACTGCGCCGTCGAGTTGACCCTTGACTAGATGGAAGACTTAGCCAAGCCGCATAATTAAATCACCACACGAATTAATAAATTTCCAAGGCATTGTTCTTTTTACTAACAAGTAAGGAATAAAGGATGTTTTTCCCGTTGGGGAATTTTGTCGAACACCTGGCGTGTGTCAGAGGCCAGTCAAAAGAAGGAAGAACTAAAACTACCCTAAAAGACTAAAACTAGAGATCAAAATAAAAGCCAGCCGTCTTCTGTACGTTTGTTCCCTATTTAAAGCCAAAAGAAAGATATCCAGTGGTCCCCACCAATTGGACACAAGCTGCCGAATTCATCTCCTTGTTTTGAGCCTCTGCGCGGTCCCCACCAATTGGCCACAAGCTGCCGAATTACTTCTTGTTCCTAAGGCTTTGTACGTTGCCTTTACTAGCTCTTGTAGCTCTTGTGGTCCCAGCCAATTGAGGCTTTCTGCTGGAGTCTCCCAAATTTGCATCCAAAAGTCCCTCTTTTTGTAGTTATCTGCTCCACTCCTGGAATTTGGTCCAGATATCAAATATGAGTAAATATCAGCAATTAACACAATATTTGTCCGGAATAGAAGGGAAAATTAATAATAAAATTACTAACAAATTATACCCTATCAGTACCCTGTAGATTCTGTACTATTAGTGCAATAACTCTTGCTCGGCTAATTATTGGCCAAAATTCTTACTTTTTTCTCATCCAATAGAAATGTCTCCAATCATATTCCTTTTTTTTTCTAGCAAGTCATACAAAGAAACTAGAGTAAAGAAAGAAAGTAAAGAATAACAAGCTATCTTTGCGCATGAATGTAGATGACGTAAAAACTAGGAAAGCCAAATCAACTGAATTTGTAATCGCCAAATTATGCCAAAATTTTGTTTGTCCAATGAACTTGTATATGATTCGATCCATCCATTCAATTTCAAAATGTGCACCAATGTTTTGAAAACCGGATCGGACCGGCCAGTTCGACCAGTTGAACCGCGAACCGGCCATGGCACCGGTCCGGTTCAATGACATTGTTGACTTTGCTAGAAACCCGGTCAAAGACCGATTGAACCGTGAAAACCGCCGAACCGGATTGAACCGGCGGTTTTCCGGTTTTCAGCTTTCCCCTTTTTTTTTTTTTTTTTTTAAGTTTTGCAAAATGCAACAATCAAGATTCGAACCCAAAACTTTTGTAATAAAAGACCAATGTATTAACCGTTGCACCATCACATCTTATTAGTTTTTTTTGATAACTTATTTATATAAAGCAAATACTCATATTTCTTTTTTCCATTTTTCTTACAAAATCTCATCCCCTCATGGCTCTTTCTTTTTAATTTTCAACTCTCTCTCTCTCTCTCTATCATCTTTTCTTTTGTCACTCCCTTTTTAATCAAACCTCTTTATTTTTAATTTATTAATGTTTTCTTCCATCTTTTAATTTTGTTTTTATCCATTAAATTGAAAAAAGTTAAAAAAGAATTTTTTTATCTCAAATTATTTAATGCCACAACCACTCACTTTTATCTTATTTTTTGTTTCTTATCAAGTTTACATTTCTATTTTCGATTTTCTTGATTTCCTTCGAATTCCAAATTTTCTTTTTTAAATTGCAATATCTAAATCTCAAAACGTAAATTAAAATTTAAATTCATAATATCTAAATTCTCAGATACATGAATTTTGTATAATTTCAAAATATTGTGATATTTTGGGGTTGGATTTAGATATAATTGAAATTGAGATGAAATTTATTTGTTTTAACTTATAATTTAAAAAATTTATTTTTAAAAATCCAAGTTATTAAAAAATAGTAAACTTTTCATCATATAAAATATTAAATTAGTCCATTACATGTCTTATTTTGTACATATATATATTTATATAAATTATTTTTTAAAAAATTCATTGAATCGAGATTGAACCGGTCCGACCGGTTGAACCTCGACCCTTTCACTTCACCGGTTCAATTAACGGTCCGGTTTTTAAAACATTGATGTGCACTAGTGTGTGATTTTGATAGTTTGCCTGTATCATCTTCAATAGGCGTAATTACAAATGAGAGATATCTACCGCCATCTAGAAGCACAATCCCTCCTAGCCCAAGCCAGCTCATTTCTCAAAGAATTCCTCCAAGTTTATTTCCTCTGACTGATCTCCTTTTATGTCATTTCACCACTGAACATCTAAACGTACTCTAGGGAATTTGAAAATTGTCAAAATTTTCCATGCATAATGGCATACATGTGACGTTTAGTTAGATAAGATGGATGTAGGGAATGAGCAATACAAAAAACATATAAAGGTCAATGAGTGAAATTGACATTTCATAAAAAAAAAAAAAAAAAGAACAGTGCAGTGCACAAAATAAATATTTTAGAAAAGTTTGCCAATCTTTTTAACTAACATGAACTTTGTACTTTAGTCCCTCACTATTGAGATGATGTATTTTGGTCCCTATATTTAAGATTTTGTCCCCATTTAAATCTCTTATAAAATATGGGTTTGGTCCATCACACTCACATGTTTAAAATACATCATTTTACCCAAAACTAATTGTTAGTGACGTCCATGAAACTGTAATTTTGACATAATTTGAATCAAAGCACAAAAACTACCTAGTAGTTGAGGTACCTGACGATCAAAATTCTGGTATGTAATTCTTAAATGTCAAAAAATTTTTAGTTCGAATAGAAAATTTTTAGAGAATATTTTAACTAGGTAGAAGTGAAATGCTAAGCTTTATGTTTAACATTTGACTTGAGGTGGTCTCAGCTTACAAAAGATTTTTTTCTCGTTAACATTAAAAAAAATTTCTTCTGTTAACATACTTTGGGTGAAATTTAGGAGCATTATAAATTGTTTTAGATTTTATAGTTAATTTTTCTAAATCGATAGCATGCAAGCTAAGGTAGTTTCACCCATAATTTTGTCTTTAAATTGCACTAATAGTATGCTTGGAATACCATTGAGAAAAAGATTAGACAAAGGCAATGCAAATCAGGCAAGAGAGACAAAAGAACAAATGAAATCATATGTTGCTTGGTACCATAGGAAAGAAGGTAGCATCAAACATTAATTGGTTATTTCAAAATCGTCATTTTGCTACCTTCAAGTAAAGAATAACAAACTACCTTTGCATATGAATCTTGAAAAAATGATGGCTGAGAAAGCGAAACTAATTGTATTCGTAGTCTCCAATTATTTCAAAATTTTGTTTTATCCATTGAACTTGTTTGTGTCGATTCATCCATTAAGTTTCAAAACATGCACTATTAATTTGGTCAGCTTGTCAGTTAGCCTATATCATCTTTAACAGGAGTAAATACTAATGAGATGCACACCATCACTTAGGAGCATAATCCTCAAAAATTGACAGGTGCCGAACCTGTGCAATAATAAATACCTACTCGAGAAAAATACAGATTTTGTATATAGCGGTGAGTAGGGTCGAATCCACAGGGACTGGTGATAATTCGTTTCTTCTAGAATCCAAAATATGGGGGGTTTTGGATTAAATGCTAACTAAATAAATTAACTGCAGAAAATAATTGATTAAGAGAAATAATTAAGGGAAAACTCTAGCCAAGGGCACACTTCAGAAATGGTTCATGCACTGATCATCGATTCACAGATAATTCCACATTTATTAATAGATTGGTTATAGTTGTCATACACGTGATAAACAACCAACCTTTTCTTACTTTCTCGATAGTTAAGGTACGACCATTTACTATTTCTCTAACCCAAAAACAACCCTAGGTACGACCGTAGGATTTAATTTCTAGATTGCATTAATAATTAGAAAGGCCCAATCCTAACTAACAAACACGCTACGAGGGTTTGTTTAAGTTAGATCGTATGTTCCCCTGACATAAACCCAATTACACCAGTTGCTACTGAGATAGAGATAACGAACAATTACGGATTCAATTACCCCTATTTAGCAAAATAGCCTATATGAATAATTAATTATTGTGCACTAATCAATCATCCACACGAACTATAACGGTTAAAAGCAGGAAACATATGAATACCAATAAATGAAGGAAGCAATTAAAATAAATTAGATCTCACAGTAATTGTTGAATCAAATCTTCAATTATCCCCTTGACTAGAATTGAGAAGCTAGTTCTCCATTAATGGAGAACTAGCTGTGCAAGAATAAAAATAATAGCCCACGGCATTCTTCTCCCCATTCGAAGGAAGAAAAACCCGATGGAATTCGAACTATCCCCCACTACCAAGCCAAAGGGATAATTAAATGTTCCCTGCTATCGCCTTCGCGGCCCACATGATAGATACCTAATAGGAGAAGGAAACTACTAAGACTCCCAAAACAAGTCTCCTCCAAAGCTTACGAGAGAATGTTTCTTTTTGTTTCCTATCTTCGGTCAACCAAGGATGAAAAAGCCATTTCCCAAGGTCAACAAAAGTGGCTATTGTCTGCTACCTTTTTTTCACTACAAAGCTGCGGCTTCCTAATCTAATTCAAGAGCCAGCCTCTCCGAAAATTGTTATTTTCTCAAAATTGCAACCAGACTCCCTCAAAATAGAATAAAATAATATTTATTACAATTAAGTTTCTTCAACTTCTTGAGCGGACCTCAGTACTTGAAGTGGCTCCCGTGCGACGAATCTTCTAAATTTCGATTTCAAGCACTTTTTAGTACCAATTCTTGCAGTTAGTACCAAAACAAAATATCAGTAGAATCCACCCAATTAATGAAAATATTTAGTCAAATAATTGTACAATAATGCCCAAAATACCCCGCTAAAATGCACCCTATCAATAATCCTTTCTTGCCCAAAGCCGGTCTATTTCCCAAAAAAATCCATATCACACCATCATTTCAAAGTTTTATTTTACCAATTGGACCTTATGTCTTTTTGTTTTTGTGTAATTTCATCCGCTGAACTTCTAAATATATTCCATGATTTCTAGAAAATGGAAAATTTGTCCTTGGATGATGGTATACGTGTGACATGTAGTTAGGTAGCATAAATGAAGAGAATGACCAATACAAAGAACATTAGTTACAAGTCAATGGAAGAAATTGACATTTTCAACCAAAAAAAAAAAAAATTCAATGGACAACGTAAAATTTAGGGCAAACTCCAATTTACCCCTTGTGGTTTAGTATTTTTTTACATAATTTCCCTATGATTTCAAAAGCTATATATAACCTTCTTATGGTTTGGGTTAAAGTGTCAAAGTGACGAAAATGATCATTCGTAACGGAGTCATCTAAAATGTCAAAACAACCCTAATGTAAAGTTGAAAATTATTTATTAACCAAGGGGGATTATGTATATATTTTGAAAACCATAAGGGGTTATATGGTAAACATTAAACCATAAGGGGATTATATGATAAAATATAAAAACCATGCGGGGTTAGTGTGTCATGTATTTATAAGGGTAATTTTGATATTTTTAAAAGTTCCGTTAGGAATGACTATTTCCGTTATTTTGACACTTTAATTCAAACCATAAGAGGGTTATGTATAGTTTTTGAAACTATAGAGGGGTTATGTAAAAAAGTACTAAATCATAGGGGGTAAAATGTAATTTGTCCTAAAATTTATAAACACTTTGCGGACCTCAAGCACATACGTGAACTTTGTACTTTATTCTCTTGCTTTTGAAATGATACATTTTGGTCCCTACGTTTTTCACTTTGTTTTGTACCTTTTTACGTCTCTTACTCTTAAAATAATAATTTGGTCCATCATATGTCCAAAATCCAGCATTTTGTCCCAAAATCCAGTTTTGATAACAATTGTAAAATGTTTGACATAATTTGAATCAAAGCTCAACAAGTAGCACTTGAAGTACCGATGTTCATTTTTCAAATTCTTGAGTGTAATTCTAAAAGCTAGGAAATTTTCACGCTTGATTGTTTTTTTCTTTGTAAGATATTTTAACTAGAAAAAAGTAAAATGCTCAGTTTTATATCCAAATTATGACTTGAGGAGATTTCAGCATACAAAAGATTATTTTGTATACTACTAGCATAATAAAATATTTTTTCCCTTATTGTTAAAATATTTTGGTTGAAATTTAGGAACATTGTAAATTATTTTTTATTTTTTGAGTATTCTTACTTTTTATCTAAATTGGAAACACACAAACTGAGGCATAGTTTCTAGCTGTAGTTTTATCTTTAAATTGCATAGCTAGTAAATTTTGTGACTATCTTCCAATTTTACACATATAATCTCAATATGTTGACAAATTTCTTTTAGTCATTTCAAGTGAAAACATGTGATCAATAATTAGTTTCAAAGCAAAAATGGTGCACTGTGGATATATGTGACGGATCAAATTTTTTATTTTAAAATTGAGAGATGAAAAATATGCCACAAAAAAATGTCAAACATGAGGAACCAAAATGCTTGATCTTAAGAATAGGGAACTAAAAAAGTACAAAAGTAATTAAATGTAACTAGCACGATTTTCCCATTTCAAATGATTTATTTCTTTTAACATCACAAACTTTCAAAGACATAACAAATAAAATCAAGTAAGAAATAAAATGCATAATATGAACCTTGTTTTCTTGATTGGTCTAATTTTTAATTCCTCAATTAAAAAGCGCCCTAGTTCCTGAGGTGGAAGATTTCACGATTTTCACTACACTACTACTCCAAATTTGCCTTATTAGATATCGCTCCACACTCATTTAGCTTTATTTTTTTCAAGCAATAAAAAATCATCTTTCACCATTTCTTGTTGGTACGTTATAGATTATGTACAATTTGCACTATAACTCTTGCAAGTCTAATTAGTTTTAAAAATTCTCACTTTTTTCTCATCCAATAAAAATTTTTCGAATCATATTCTCTTTTCTCAACAAGTCACAAGAAGAACCTAAAGTTAAAAAGAGAATATAAAAATTTTAACAAGTAAAGGAAGTTTGGCTAGAATGCTAGAATACCATAGAGAAAAAAAATAAATAAAGGCAATGTAGAATAGGCAAAAGAGACAAGAAGAACGCATGGAATCATACCTTGCTTGTGTAATCCAGTCAATCAAAGTACCAACAAACATAAATTGATTATTTCAGGATTGTTATTTTGCTATCTTTAGGTAAAGAATAATAAGTTACCTTTGAATATGAATTTAGAATAAGCGAAGACTAAGGAACCAATTCAATCGCTGAGAAAAGAATAAACAAAGGCAGCGTAAATTAATCAGAAGAAACTAAAAGCATGTATGGGATCATATGTTCCTGGTTATAGAAAGCAGCATCTAACAAAATTTGGTTAGTCCACTGTTGTCTTTTTACTACCTTCAAGTAAAGAATAATAAGTTTAGATGAAATTGACAATTGCAAAATAAATAAATAAATAAATAAATGTTCAAAGGACAAAGTAAAATTTTGAAGCGGTTTTTCTTTGGTTATTCCACAGTTGTCATTTTTTTCTGTTTCTTACTCTGCTTTCAAGTCTTTCAAAAACCATAGCGAACTCAAGATCCTAACAGTCATAAGAGATATGGAGGAAAAGCCATACCGAACTCAAGATCTTAAGCATTTCAGTCATGAGGAGCACCCGCTGATCCTGTGTGAATTGCAGAAGGAAAACGATGACGGTAGCATTGATCAAAAGTCAGCAATCTGTTATGGGTGTCAGGAGCAAATCTTGGATCCTGCAGCATACTGCTGCTTTGCTTGTGATTTCTTTCTTCACAAAAGATGTGCGAAACTTCCGCGACAAATTACGCATCCGATGCACTCCCAGCATCCTTTAGTCCTCCTTGGGAAGCCACCTTATTCCTCGGGTAGTTGTATCTGCGATGCGTGTGGCCAAGGTGGCTGGAAGTTTTTCACCTACCACTGTTCCCGGTGCGAATTTGATCTCGATGTGTCGTGTGCTATTTTGGAAATTAAGCTCCATTGTCATGACCACCCTCTTCGACAACTAAAAAAACCTGCTTTTTTCTGGTGTGATGCTTGCCGTGAGCTTGATGAAGATTCGTCCTATCTGTGCACTGTTTGTCCATTTTGGATCCACAAAAATGCGCCTTGCGGCCAACAACTGTGAAGCACAAGGATCATAATCACTTACTCCGTCTGGCATATTCTCTTCCGTCTGAGCACCGCAGTTTTCGACAATATTGCCCTGTTTGTCGCGACAAGGTACAACTGAGTCGTTGGGTCTATTATTGCGGTCCTTGCAGATACTTCGTCCATATTACATACGTTGTGATCTCTCAAGAGGATGAAGGGCAGCTAAGTGAAGATATTGAATATCCTATCTCGTAAGAGCTTTTCTTTGTTTTGCTTGCTATTGTTAACGCAATGGTTGATTCTTTAGCTTTTTTTTTCCCGCCTCCAAAAATTTAGTTTTTTACACTTCTACCATAATCATGATGAAATACTTTTGACATTCTATCCTCTAAATTTCTTGTCTTGTGGGTTGCTAGAGGAGAACAAGATCAAAATGTGGTGAAACTACCATCCAATAACGCAGCTCAAGAATTGATCACCCGTTTTCTTCTCAAGGAAAATGAGATCAGTAGCAGTAATGACTCAGGCAAATCGAATATTCCAGAAAATATATTTATGGATTCACACAGGAAGCATCCGCTTGTTCTTTCAGAGAAAGTACAAAACTTAGATGAAATAAAGAATACTACTAATGACGATCAGGAAGAAGCAAAAGCATTGTTAGTATGTGACGTGTGCATTGAACCTATTTGCTCATCTGACGATCTTCACTACTATGCTTGTGTCGAGTGTGGTTACTTTGTCCATTTAACTTGCTCTAACCTCCCCCATAAATTGCACATTCCAAAGCATCCCCAGCACACATTCTCCTTGACGTGTAAATCGAGTGCAGTTGGTGTTTTTATATGCGGGGCATGTCCCTGGTGGACCAATGCTAGCTTCTATAATTGTGAACCTTGTGAACTAAGTTTTTGTATCAAGTGTGCAAGTGCTAGCATGATCACGAGTAGTGTCAATTACGATGGTCACAAGAAGCACCTCTTGACTCAATTTCAAAGTTCAGATCTCACACGTTGCATGGCATGCGGCTATATATATAGAGGTGGTTTTGGGTTTGCCTGTGAGGATTGCCATTTCTATGTGTGCTATAACTGTGCTTTGCTGCCTCCTGCAACTACGCAGAGATGGGATAAGCACCCACTTTTCCTGATATATCCTCCATATTACGAGCATCCTGAGGTATTCTACTGTGTGCTCTGCGAAACAGAAATCAACCCAAATCATTGGATGTATCACTGCCGTGAATGCGACTATTCATTGCATCCTTGGTGCATTCCTCAAGTTAATTTGTTCAGACGTGTGAAATTTGGATGCTCCCTGAACGTGAATAATCATTCTCATCCTCTCACTCATGTTCCCGAAGCAAAATACAAATCCTTTTGTGGGAGCTGTAATTGGAGGTTGGATTGGGAAGAGGCTTTCGAATGCGATTCGTGCAAATTTTATCTCTGCCCATTTTGTGCTCGTCAAAGGGAATTGCCTGTTGTAACCATTAATGAGTGGTGATGAAGAATCGCACGAACTACAGATTTTTACATCTTACTTTCATTTATAATACTTATGAATTGCTTGGAAGTTCAAATAATTAAAGTAATTAGTCAACTTGTAGATCACTACTTGATTGGTGTTGTCTTTTGTTGGTCTGTAATTTATGCAACAGATCTCGTATTAATGCTCCAATAACTGGTAATTGCACTCTCCTGATCTTTCAATATTGTAAAAGATTTATGATATCCCCATCTTTCATTTCTATCAAAACCACTCAATTTTTTGTAAAATACAATTAGAATGAAAGGTAGAGATAATTGATTTTGTCTTTTCACATGATTAAAAAGTTCAAGTGAAATATTAATTCAAGCACGAGAATGCAATTATCAACTTCCACCGTGTTTACAAGGTATAGAACTTCTAAGAGTTTGATTATTCTTTGAAGGATTGTTTGTTCTTTTTCTTTTGTTTCTTCGTTTTTCTTTTTATATATAGATATAGCATTTACATGCTTAGAATTGAACTTAATTAAAACAAATCTCTATACTTATATTATGGAATTAACATTACAAATTTTCCCAAAACTTCGCCACTTTCAAATGCCTACATTGCCATTTCTAATAGCTAAATTTCAAATTTCAACAATGCATCAAAGAGGAGTGTTAATCAAGACAACGTTGCTGCCACCATTGCTGGAGGTTCAACTTCCATTGATTTGTAACTTAGACTTGAAATTCAAAGGAGTATTTTTGTCATCTTTACAAAAATTGCTGTGAAATAAAATTGGAATAAAGGCATTATCATTTGCCTTAGGAGAAAATTGGAGATTTTGGAAGAATAAGAGACTATTGGAGATTTTTCGTTCATACTTGTCTACACTGAATATTCCGAGCAATGGTAGTTTCAGGTAATTTATCACTTTCATACATGATTTTAGCCAACAAAACCTAAGTTTATTTTTTGAAGCAACAATATAATGCTTGTAGCCACACGTCATCCAAAAGGGAAAAAAAAGAACAATTATGGATCACAAATATTACTTAACTGAATATAATTATCTCTGATAAGGAAAATGAGGAAATATATATATTTCTCAAGTCACACCATTTTTATTCTTCTTTATAGATGATTATAATTAGGCCCATTGGTGGGATCATATAACTCAACAACATTGCAGCTAAGGTGCAGAAAGACACTAGTGAAAGCGAATAAACACGTAAGCACACAAGTATGCAAGCATACAAGCAAATAAATACAAATAAAGCCTAACTATTACATTCGGGATCCTAATTACAATCTAAAAGGGGGAAATTTTAAAAATAATAACCTAACTATTATATTTATCTAACTAATTACATTCTTAACAAAAATTAAACCTATCTATTACATAATTTAGCTAAATACATAACATGAGCGCCTATCTATTATATTTTAACATTTAAATGCCTCACAAATAATCATCAAAATTAAATAAAATAAATGAAAGTTAAAATGAATAAAATGAGTAATTAAAGGAAAAAGCACTCAAAATATGTAATTACACATAAAAAAGACATAGGAGCACATAAGAGGATTTAAAATAATAAAAGAAGGTACCTTCCTTAAAGTGGTGATTAAATGGGGTGAAATTTATCCTATTTATACTCCAAAAATCAACAAAATGGTCAAGACACTAATTTAATTAATAAATAAATTATAAAGAAATGAAATAATCATAAAATCTACCAATTAAAAGCATTTAAATGAAGTATAATTAACAATTAAAGAAGATAAGTAACTTATATTTAAGAAGCCAAAACTGTCAAGCACCTAATTACAAAAATTAAGAAAGTTTTTAGGGTTAAATTATAATTATTACAAAAATAGGAGTCCAAATCAAAGAAAAATAAAGTCTAGGGACCTAATTGAAATAAAATCAAAGTTTTTAGGGCCACAGAAAAACTACTCAAAAGACCAAGGATGGGAATGCAATTCCCGTTTCTGGTCTTGCGAGGTACAAAGGCCTCTTGGGCCCTTTTCACTATTTCTTGGGCCAAGGCCATTTGGCCGAACGAAAAGGCCCAAGAAAAGATCGGGCCAAGCCTACTCTTTTTACCAAATCAATCCAATCAAATTGCATGGACTTTCATCCTCCAAACCCAAGTCAAAACCCAGAAAAAGAAAACAAAAGCCACTATCATAACCCAAGCAAAAAACCCCTAACCCTAAACCTAAATTATTTTACTAAAACCCAATAAGATAATAAATCAACTAAAAATTATTAATGTCTAATTATACCCTAAAATCGAAAAATTATCTACCCAAAAACCTACTTAAAATATAAAAAAGGAGGATTAAAACTTAATAGGGGCAAAATTGATTCAAAATTTTCAGATTTTGGGCTGTAGTAGAATTATTTAAAAATTAGGGGGCCAAAATGCAAAATTTCTAGATTATTCATGCAAGCTCATCGCAGCTTTCTTCTACCTTTCTTCTTCTGCAACTTTGCAACCCATTCTATCACAACAATTCCTACTTGAACTCAAACAAAAAAAACCATCGATTTACCAACCAAAAACCCAGCACCAGGATTTCAGCCCATTTTTATTTAACAAAACCCAACTACAAATTCCATTTCTTGGAGATCAAATGAAGAAAGACAAGCAAGAAGAACGTGAAATCAACTCATGGTGGAACCAAGGAATAGATTCACAGGACGCTGAAGATTTTCTGATCAAACCATCAAATCATCAAACATGATAGCATCTTCAAACCCTTTTGGGCGAATTCCACCCATCAAAATAATCTAAAGCATCACAAATCACAAAAAATCTAAGAACCTAATTCATGCAGACCAGCTCATGTAATGACCCAACAATGTCATGAAATAACGTTAAATAGATTAAGAGGGAAAACTATCATCATCTACCAATGATTGAGGCTCAAATCGATGTAAGACAAGCTGAAAAATCCCGCAAAAAATCGCTGAAATGAAGCCGAACAAGTTCCGTTGTAGACCTTGCAATGCTGATAACCTCGTGATTTTGAGCTCGGATTCAAATGAGTTAACAATGTTTCTTGGGGAAAGTTTACAGATAATGTAGAAACAAAAGGATCACTCAAAGGGTTAAAATCAAAGCAAGAGGGTTGGTGCATCAGCCAGTATCAAGTTTTCCAGAAATTTTTCTTTCTTTTTTTCTCTCTGATATTTCTTTTGTTTCTCTTTTTTCTCTTCCTTTTTGCTTTTCCGCCATCTCCCTCTTGTTTTTCTTCTCGTTCTTGACCTAGTGCTGCTTTTTTTAAGCTTTTTATAAGAATAAAAATCCCCAAAACCCTCACCTCAAAGGTGAGGATGAAGGCTGGGTTTCTTTAGAAAATTTGAGCCATTAGATGGCATTTATTCTAGAAAATTCTTGGTGTTTGGATTAAGGCCAGGTGGCCATGTATTGGGGGCTTGAATGGAAAGAAAAAATGCAAAAAAATGCATGAAAATTGGATGAAAATGTAGCTGCAATTTCTGTACTATGGCCTCGTCCATGGCCATGTATTGCCGGAGAAGAAACCAGCGCGCGCATGCGTGGCTCCTTTTTTCTGTTTTTTTGAAAATCGGATTTTGATTTGATTTTTTTCTTTCCTTTTCTTTCTTTTCTTTCTGATTTCTAATTTTTCTAGAAAATTATTGGTGTTTGGATTAAGGCCAGGTGACCATGTATTGGGGGCTTGAATGGAAAGAAAAAATGCAAAAAAATGCATGAAAATTGGATGAAAATGTAGCTGCAATTTCTGTACTATGGCCTCGTCCATGGCCATGTATTGCCGGAGAAGAAACCAGCGCGCGCATGCGTGGCTCCTTTTTTCTGTTTTTTTGAAAATCGGATTTTGATTTGATTTTTTTCTTTCCTTTTCTTTCTTTTCTTTCTGATTTCTAATTTTTCTATAAAACTAAAACTAAACTGAAAAAAATGAAGTGACAAGACTTTCTTTTAGAAAAATTAAGAAATAAAAACAAAAAATAAAGATAAAAATAGAATAAAATAAAATAAAATAATATGAATAAAATAAATGACGCAAAATTTTGGTATCTACAAGTTTTAGTAGAAAAATATAAACCATTATAAAAAGTTTGCACAATGAGCCAATCCAGAAGTCATGATGTGGACATCTCCGAAATAACTCTCTAAACCTTTCTCATGTTTCATATAATGATTCATCCTCTAGTTGACTAAAACTAGTTATATCTATTCTAAACTTAACCATTTTACCCGGTGGAAAGTATTTATTCAAAAATACCCTTGATAAATCATCCCAAGTAGTGAAAGTATTAGGAGCATGAGAATGTAACCAAATTTTAGCCTTATCCTTCAATGAAAATGGGAATAACCTTAACCTTATAGAATCCTCACTAACTCCATTCATTTTGATTGTATCACATATCTCCAAAAATGTGACTAAGTGTGCATTTGGATCCTCAATGACATTACGTCCAACTTGAGATTGTTGAATTGAATCTTAAAATTGTTAGCATTTACCGTTGGTCTTGTTATACTTGTTTGAGATCCTTGTGTCCCCGGTAGAGCAAAATCTTTACGAGCTCGCCTATTTGTTTCGTTTTCCGCCATTTCTTCTTCAAAAGGTAGCTCTACAGCGATTCTCTCTATTTGTTGTTAAACCTCTTCTTCTTCTTGTTTTAGTGTACGCCTTCTTTGTCAACGCAATGTCATTTTTACGAGACCCCAGTTAGTCCTTAATTTGGATACTATGTGAATTAAAGAACATTAGTGTCATTTTTGCTGCAAAATGTGGTTTTAGGGTTGGTGGTAATCCTTTAACTGTTATTTTGTTCTAAATATTTAGAAAATCCTAATTTGGGTTATTGCTAAAACCCTAGTTTTCGTATTAATCACAAATTCATGCTGGAGTTAATATTAGGCATACTAATGTATGTTTTTGTATAGGTAAGTATAGGATTTGATTTATTTTACAAAGGTTAAGTAGGTTTAAAAAGTTAGAAAACCCTAAACTAGTAAAACCTCTAGTGTTCTAATAAATTAGAAACCCTAAGTTGGGTTTAAAACCTCTAATTTTGCTAATGTCAAAAAGGTTGTTGTTTAGTTGCTTATATGTAGGATAAGGTATGATTAAGAAGGGGTGGTTAAGATAGGAGGGTGATTAGTGAAGCGATTAAGTGGGATTAAGCATTTTAAACTAGATTAAGTATGTATCTTATGGAGTTAATTGAAAGACTTCCATATGTTTGTGGACAAGAGAGTAAGAAAGATAAAGTGAAGTTGTAAAGGCTAAGAAGCAAAATGCAAGCTTTTGTGTGATTGGTTGAGGTGAAAATATCTTCTATGGGCTTTGACTTATATTGTATCATAGGAAATACAAGATAAACATAAGTCATTAAGCCAACAAACATCAAAGGGAGAGAGAGAGAGAGAGGGCCGAGAGCCTTGAGCAAGAAAGGAGAGAGATTTCTTCCAAATTCATCTACTTCTAGCCATTCATCTTGATCTTGGAGCTTAGGGAAACAGCCTTGGCACTTGATGGTTGTGATTCCATCACTTGCAAAGCTTGGTTAGAGGTAAAACATCTCACTTGAAAGTTAAATTTTGGTGATTGAGTCTTGAAGCCATGAAAGTGATGTTCTTGTTGTGGTTGTGAACTCTTATGGTATACATAGTGATTGTAGAGTAGTTTAATGGTTTATTTTGGTGGTATTTTGTTGCATGAATTTTGGCTAAAACTAGGAGAAGTTAGGGTTCCTTGCTTCATGATTCCTTAAGTTGGTTTGGGTGGTTACTTGGCTTGCCAATGGAATTTTGGTGTGATAATTGCACTTGTATGGTTGGTTCTTAGCAAAATTCAATTTGGTCATGAAACCCTAGTTTAAAGGGAGTTAGGTTGGCTTAGCTAGGGTTTAAATAATTAGGGTTTGATTGGTATATGGATAGACAAAGTTAGTTAGGGCTTGTAAGGTTAGAGCATAGAATATGGTTAGTGTTTGCTAGGTTTTGAGGTTAAGTTGGGGAAGGAATTTCAGGTTTCTTATAGAACAATTAGGAGATGGTATATGTGTGTTGTATTGATGTGGGAATGGTTAGAAAACTTGCATGCGATGCTTGCATTTGGACCACGCGTTTGCGCCGCGGAAATTAACTAACCCAGAAAAAAGAAAAACAGGACAGTGCGATCCTGCAGCTTTGGTTCCATTTTTCATTGGGGATCCATGCTGACTCAGCTTTTGGCCAAAACACAAAAGTGATAGCCTTATAATTGATTTTTCCAATGCTTTTGGAATTTCTTGATTCGGATCTACGAGTCCTGAGTTATGGTCATTCAAACAGGGCCTGCCCGACAACCTGAACATAAACTGTTGGGACTGTTTCGTGCATTTTTACGCTAGTTCCATTGAGATCTGGGTTGAAGGGCCTTCATGAAAGTTGTAGAGCTTTGGGTGATCTGTCTAACTGCTAAATTTCAGAGTGTTTGGACTTTGGTAGCATACAAAACGATCCAAACACTCTAAACTGTTTGAATTGCCTAAGACAGTTTCTAGTGGCTATTGTTTTTGTCTATGTTGATGATAAAGAGGTCTATTTTAGCTCTTGATGTCTTCATGAAAGTTGTGACTCGTTCTTTTAGCTTCGAAACGGTGTCTCATACACCTTAATCCAATATTCATAGCCTAACTTATGGTCAAAACGGTTTGGGGTGGTAAATCTGCCGTTTCTGTTTGTGACGGCCGTTTCCGTTTCCGTTTCCGTTCGCCGTTTCCGCCTGCGCGCGTGTCCGTTTTGCCATTTTGCTTGATTTATACATTTTAGTAGCCGTTTGTGGAATAATGTGGTACAACCTTCTATTGCAGACGGTAGCAGGCTAGGCGGAGCCAGTGGGACCTATTAGCTGTCGCACGCGACGTGATTTTCGCACTTTTACTATACTTGTTCTTTACGTAAGTATTCGGGCCGCTTGTATGTATAAATCGCTTATGTGCTTTAATGTGGATGAAAGGGTACTTAGGCGAGGGTGTACTTTATCACACTCGACCTAAGCCCTAATTTGCACCTGTATTTATACATGACATGTGCATATGAATTGTTTTGGGACTGAACCCCTTGAGCTTGTCACTCGGGGTGACTTTTGTGAGTTATGAAATATGATGAGTTTGGGACCTGATCTCAAGACCTAGACGGACTATTCGAGCCGGCCGGGGCTTGCTCGAAATCAGTCAAATCTAGTCTTGATTTTGTTTTGATTGCTCGAGCCATTTTGTGCGGTTGACTGGCCAGTGAGGGTGATAAAGGGTACGGTGGGAGTATAAGTGGAGTTTTACGAACCCTTATTTGTGGTCGACAAAGTGTCGATAGGAGGTCACACGTGGCAAATGACTTGGCTTTGGAGCCAACCTATATCCTTAACTTGTGCTGTTATTTCTTTTGCTTTTGACTTGGCATCTTTGTGACGTAATTGTTCATCTTGATGTACCATTTACGTTTTTACCCCTGTTTACATACTAAGCTTATAGCTTACCCCTTTCCCTTTGTTTTCCTTAACAGGGGCCGACGCGGGAGACGCTTTGACACTGTCACTAGTATAGCTAGGTTTAGTTTGTAATAACCGGACAATTAAGCTGGTTCTTCTTGTTATAGTGATTCGTGTAAGGACCCTTCTTCGGGTCTACTTTCTAATTTTGGTCATTATCATAAGGTGATGTAGTGGTCTGGATATCTACTTTTGAGGGTGTAAATAGAACTCTTTTGCCAATGTATATATTATGAATAGTACTCTTTCGGTTTATATAACTTTTATTATTTTGCGTTTTCGAGTCCTGGTGCGAGTTACGCAGACGGTGCGCTAAGCCCTTTGGTACGCCTCTGGGTGCGATGGGGCCGTCACAATTTTCAATTTCTGGATCAAAAGGTGCAACTATCTTTAAAGTTTGGTGCATACACTACAAACAAAAAGAAAATAACAAAATTAGTAATTTTATACCAAAAAGTGATTGAAAAATCTATACAAATACCACACAAAAGTTTTAACTAAAATTAAAAGAAAGTGTCTATATTAATAAAGCTTACTTGGTCCTAATATTGCCGCTCCTTGGTAACGGCGCAAAAAACTTGACGGATTTTTTTATGTGTACAAGTTTAAATCCAATTTACACCCGTTTTGACTGTAAGTATACAGGTCAATTAGTAGTTTATGCCATATATTAGGTCGATCCTACAGGGAGCAACTTTCCAAGTATTAAGACCATACTTACTCTATTATTTAGACTAATAATCAATTAAAGTAAGAGAAATTGTAATTACTCGTATCTAACTAATCTTAACTAGATAACTTGCAAAGTAACAATGGAGAAAATTCACTAAATACTTGAGTCTAGGGATGTAGATTTCACTTATGGCATAAAAGATACAAATGAATAGATTTACCTCTTGTTACAACTCTTGTTTAATTAGGGATTTATTTCCAATATTACTAAATCTCATTCTCATGATGAAATGGCCTAAACTAGACTAGTTTTCCCTATTTTCTTGGTGAATAACTAGATCTACTATTGTTTCCTTCATGAAATGCACGGTTAATCCACTTAAGTGTATCTCTATTCTCATGAGTCAACTACTTAAGTCCTATTTATGTTGTTCCATCATTATTACCAACTTTTATTGAATAATAACAACTAATAACTTGCTATTGGTGATCAAGTAACAACAAGTGATAAAGTATGCATAAATAGACAAGTTAATACAAGATGTAAAAAGTGTAATTCATATTCAACTCATATCAAATAGTCATAAGTTTCAGCTACTCCCTAGATCTAGGAGTTTAACTGCTCATATGAAATATCGCAAAAGAGAACATAGCTTCATAGCATAAACACATATTGTGTCACAAGTAAAAAGATAGATAAAGAAAACTTAGCAAATGTGATGAAAAAGCTCCCAATGATTTTCAATTTCTTCAACAAAAGTGAGTGATACAATGAAGACTCTAATTGGTCTTGCAAGTTCTTGTTAGAAAGAACAAGAAAAACTAAAACTAAGCTCTAATGCTAACATCCAATGAGAACTAATTCTAATGTCTCCCTCTCTCTCTTGTCTAATGATTCTTACATGTATCTTGTTAAGAGAGTCAAAAAGTGGGTTAAGACAAGACATAAAACTTCTTTTATCTTCCTTTAGGACTCTTGAGCATGTGCAGCTGAAATTCTGTTCAGAAATTAAACTGAAAAATAGTGTGGAAACAGAGCAAGTGGTAGAGTAAGTTGCAGAAATCAGGCTACAATACACGACTTGTCAATACGCAACTTCAAGTCATGTATTGAAGGTTGCGTATTCTTCTTTTTAATCGTTTCCTTGCTTCATTTCTGCTCCAATTCAATTCTAAAGGTTAGAACACGATGCCCTCAATTGTATTCATGCCTTACTCCAAGAGTGATTGACTTGAATAAGTAGTTTCCTTTCCAATGTTATATTGAATCAAACTCAAATAGTGTCGAAATATGTCCGACTTGATTTGACGTTGATAATTCCTTCAAATATAACCAATTTTTGCACATTAGGTTGCTCAAATGAAGTTCACAAAATTTAGAAGTTTAAGGAGCAAGTTACGTCTTCAAAATTCTAAATTAGACCTAAAATGAGTCTAAAAACCTACTAAAAATTACACATAATAAACACTTATCACTTATGTATATCTTGTGAAACATAATAGTGAAACACATGAAATACTTGTAGCATATGTACAAGAAATTGAAAATCATTTTGACAAGCAAAATTAAAAGTTTAGAAGTGATTGAGGAAATGAATATGAAACTTTGGGACTAATTGATTACATTAAATCTTTAGGAATTGTTCATGAAACTACGCTGCCTTATTTACCTGCATCTAATGATGTAGTAGAACGTAAAAATAGAACTTTAATAAATTTAATAAATGCAATAATGGTGAATGCAAATGCGCCAAAGAATTTTTGGGGAGAAGCAATTTTGACAGCTAATTACATAATGAATATAGTGCCTAGAAAACAAACTCTTTTAACACCTTATGAATTATGGAATAAAAGAAAACCAAATTTAAACTATTTTCGTGTGTGGGGTTGTTTGGTATATGTTAGATTACTTGATCCAAAAATTCCTAAATTAGGAGTTAGAACTAAAAGTGTGCATTTGTTGGATATGCCTTAACCAATAAAGCTTATAGATTTTATGACATAGAAAGTAACATTATAATAGAATCACTTGATGCAATTTTTCATGAAGATAAGTTTCCATTAAATTAAGAAACAGTGGGGGTGAAGAGGAAAAAATAATAAATGAAAGTGAAACTAGCTCTACACATTTAAAAAATTTTTGGAACTAATGCAAATTTGAGAAAAAGCAAAAGAGCTAGATTAGAAAAAGACTTTGGACTAGATTATTTAGTTTACAACGTAGATGGTGATTCAAAAACTATAGAAGAAGCCTTAAACTCACCTGATTCTATTTTTTGGAAAGAAGCTATAAATGAAGAGATGGAATCTTTATTATCAAACAAAACTTGGAAGTTAGTTGATTTACCTACTAGTTGTAAACTATTGGATGCAATTTGGCACTTAGAAGAAATTAAAATCAGATGGTACAATAGATAAATATAAAGCAAGACTTGTAGCTAAAGAGTTTAAGCAAAAAGAAAATGTAGTCTTTTTTTGATACTTATTCACCAGGAACAAGAGTTACATCAATAAGATTGCTTATAGCTATTGCTGCCATTCATAATCTTAAAATTTATTAAATGGATGTAAAAACAGTTTTTTTGAATGGAGATTTAGAAGAACAAATATATATGGATCAACCACAAGGTTTTGTATAACCTGTTCATGAAAACAAAGTTTGTAAGTTAACAAAATCTTTTTATGGTTTAAAACAAGCTCTTAAACAGTGACATGAAAAATTTGATAGGAGCATGATATCAAATAATTTTAAAATAAATGAGAGTGATAAATATATTTACTATAAATCGATTGCAGATACTCATATTATTCTATACTTGTATGTTGATGATCTTTTAATTTTTGGGACTGATTTGAATATTATTGAAAATACCAAGGGGTTACTAAAACATAATTTTGATGTGAAAGATCTAGGTGAAGCTAATGTGATACTTGGTATGAAAATTACTAGAAACCCTAGAGGAATTATGTTAGATCAAGCACATTATATTGAAAAAAATACTTAAAAAATATAAATATTATGATTGGAAACCAGTTTCCTCTCTTTTGATTCTAGTGTGCATTTATATCCAACTAAGAATGATGCATGTGTGTTAAATCAGCATGAATATGCAAGCATAATTGGAAGTTTGAGATATGCCACTGATTGTACTCGACCAGATATCACTTATGCTGTAAATATTTTGAGTAGATTTACAAGTAAACCTAGTTATGATCATTGGAATGCTATTACTCATGTTATGAAATACCTTAAAGGTACTATAAATTATGGTTTACTTTATAAAAATTACCCTGCTATTCTAGAAGGGTTTGGTGATGTAGATTGGAATTCTCAATCTGGTGACTCATTATCTACCACTGGCTATATTTTTATCTTAGGTGGTGTAGCTGTGTGTTGAAGATCTAGAAAACAACACATTATTGCTAAATCTACTATGGAAGCAGAGCTTATGGCTATAACTTCTGCCGGTGAAGAGGACAGTTGGTTAAGAGATTTATTATCTGAAATTCTCATTTGGGATAAACTAGTACCACCTATACTTTTATATTATGATAGTACTACTGCAATTGGTAGAGTACATAACAAATATTATAATGGAAAGTCTAGAGCTGTTAGAAAAAAACATAGTACCATGAGATTATATTTATGTGATGGTGTTATAATATAGACCATGTGAGATCAAAAGAATATCTCACTGATCCATTAACGAAAACTTTAGCTAGAGAAAAAAATTTTCAAACATCAAAGGGAATAGGACTTGAGCCTAAAAAGTTTTAAATTGGAATCATCTGTAAGGATACAACTACCTAGAGATTGGAAATCCCAAGAACTAGATCAGGGACAAACGAATCATAGAATGGTTTGGGTGAAAAGCATGCATAGATTATAAAATTATTAAATCCCTTCCTAAGGTGTAAAGCATGGGAAGGGATTCTATGATGAAAAAAAGGTTAAGATTTGATATAAATCTTTTAATGAGTTCTATAGCCCTTTATGGGTGGGATGCCTTAGACATAGGGGTATGCTTGATAGACTCACCTATATAAGTATGGAAGTAAAGGCCACTTCCTATGAGAATTTGGCTAATTCTCTAAAGCACTCATGAATCTGGGATAAAGCACAAGGCCGTAATGTGCTGGTTTAAGAATTTTGTTAATTAATATCTTGAATATCATGTGTGTGATATAATCTTACATATCTTTAAGTAGTCTTAGTTTCAAGGCTTTAGTCTACTTTGACTCTAATATGAGGATTATGGAAACACTAAATGATGGTTTCAAGGCAATGCCACTTTCACTATGCATGATGTTCTCACTTTGTCCAAATTTCCTTTTATCTCTTTCAGATTTTATTAAAATAAGTGGGGGAAATGTTGGTGTATTTTAATAAAATCTTAATTGTTTCTTGACCAAATCTTTACAAGAAGTTATAATAGAATTTATTTGGGAGTTATAGGAATTATAGTTTTGGGAGTTACAATGCATTTTGAATGGAGTTATTGTACAATTATTTGAATAAGAGTTACAAATGAATTATTTGGTCAATTGAAGAATTATTGAGTCTTTATAAGCCATTCAAATGTGAATCAATTTTTAGGTTACAAATTCTATCAATTAACTACAATTTAATATGAAAAAAACTGTTATACATTGGACTTTCAACCATTTTTCTAAAGGCTTTTATAGCCTATAAATAGTGAAGTTCTTTGGAAATTTTAATACACATTTCTCTCAACAAAAGATCATTCTAAATACTATTTTCCTCACACTCATTTCTTTTTCTCTCATTCTGTTTTCTTTGGGCAAAGAAAGATATTGGAAGCTTCTGCTTTTCTTGGTTGTGCAGATCAAAGGGAAGCAACAACTACAAAGTTGGGTTGTTGTATCCTGGAGGCGGCACACTAGATTTTTTTTGCATCGGTTTAAAAAAATACCGTAGGGGTGCATATCGTCTTAAAGAGAGCGTTCTACACGCCTCAGTCCTACAGAACTTTTTAGTAGCTGACAAATTCAAAGTGGTTAGCTTGAAAATCAGAAGTTGTTCGTGTACTCTTCTGCAACAGTTTAAGGGCATGACCTACTCAAAATTCATTCATAATAAGCTTTGCTTTATGTTTCACTTAAGGGGAAAATCTTTAGGTACTTTTCCTTGAAGGTAAGTCTTTGTTTAGGCTAATCATCTTGTACAGATTAATGTCTTTCATGAATAAATGCTGCATTCTGTTTTCTTGCTTCAAGTTAACAAGAATGCATTCACTATTTATAGTTCTTACTTAATTTCAACAAATTCTTGATATTACTAACATTTTAACGTAATCAAATTTTTTTTTCATTTGCTTAATAATTTAGTATCTTCACAAAATTAGATAAAATGGTAATTTGTCCATCAGTTCCTAGGAACAAGTTTGAAGTTATTTTCGCCATTACAAGACAAAAGGATTACGATCTAGAAGGGCAATGTTGTAACCTAACTCTATAAGTAAGTGCTTAAGTCATTCTTTTTTGGCCATAAAAAAAAAAAAGAAATGGAATGCAATGTCTAAATGTTACGATTAAATGCATTAAACCCTTGTGAACTTTATCCTTTGTTGCATTTTGCCCTCCTGAACTCATTAAATAAGCATTTCGCCTTCTATTTAATAAGAAAAGTGCATTTATTTTTTTTATTTAATAAGCATTTCACCCCTATTTAATATTTTAAGACAAAAGTGCCCTTATTATTTTATTTTTTGTATTTTTTCTTGTTTTAATTTTTTCACTTCTCTTATGTCACTATTTTGATTCACTTTCGTATTAATATTATTAATTTGTATGTTTATTATATTTTTTATTTATAATTTCATTCTTGTTTATTTATTTACAATATCAGAAAATTCAAGACAAATTGTATAGCATCAAAAAAATTAATATATGCCTATCATAATCAAAAGGGATAATTTCAAAAAACCCCCTTGAGGTTTTCGACAATTTCACTAATCAACTCCCCTTAGGTTTCAATAATTTCATAGACCTTCTTTGGTCCAATCAAATGACTAAAATGCCCTCCACTTAATAGTTAATTCATAAAGAGGCATTTAAAACTAAAAAATACTTATTATTCTATTTGTTATTTTCTAATCTTAAAGAACAATCTCCATCCATTTTCTAATTTTTATCTCTTCCTCACTCTTTCATACACTTCTCCCCTTTTCCTCCTACAACTACTTCTATCTCTTACCAAATATTGCGCTACATTGTTACCAACCACACCACTATCAATTTTTTACCATTTCTAAAATTTATATGTATTTTTTTTTCTTCCTGTCTCTTTTTTACTATAAAAATTTTAGACCTTTTTTTTCAATAATTTTACTCTTTACAAATGTTAGCCAATTGAAGTTACCAAATTAGCAAGGTGCAGATTGTGGATTTTTATTGTCAAACTAAGGGAAGATGGAAAAGGTGGAGGTGATATAGGGAAAAAAATGAAATTGAGAGTTGGAAGATAAAGAAATAGCTATTATGTTTGTTAGGCAAAAAAGTCTCACAATTAAAAAACTCATTGGTTGTCTCTTTTATTTCTACTTATTGATTGTGGTTTTACTATAAAGGTAGAATTTTGTCTTTATTTCTAAGAGTGTTAGAACAATGATGAATTATGTTCTTAGGGACATGAGGGCATTTCTTGGTTTAGCATTCGTAGTGGTGATAGCAAGTTGCATTAGACAAAAATTAGTAAGTAATGGATTTTGAGATGAATTAGAGTAGCTGGACTCTGTTCGCCTGAGTATGACACGTGCAAGAAGTTAAATATTTGAAGCTTGTTTTGTTTTGTCTTGTTTTCGAGAAGAATGGCATTTTAGGATATTTGTTAAAAAGTATAGGCTATTGGGTCTATATTGTTACATAAACCTTAAAAGTAAGGGAGGTAGGTGTAATTTTTAAGACTTTAGGGAAGCTCTCTGCAATTGTTGGAAAAATCTCAAGGGAGATTTCTCAAATTATCACTAATCAAAAAGTGTATATTACTGACAATTTGACTATTTAAAAAAAATATTAGCAAACTAGAATTTTAAATTACTTAATAGTTAAAAATATATCCCAAAAAATAAAGTAAGTAACATTTTTATTTATTTATTTATTGATGTATAGTTGATTAACCACTATATTATTACAATTTGAATTTGTTATTATTGTTATTAAAAATTAATTTCTTAAAAATTTTAGATTTATTGATTTAAGTAATATATGAAATAGTGTATGTGCATAGCTATCATATATTGTGTTGTAGCATAGACTTTATGATAATTATTACTTCCAATAACAAAAAGTAAAAAGATAGAAATAAATAAAAAAAAAGTTTAAGACAAATAAAATTAATATATGGATAATACTAACAAAGTAAAAAGGTAGTCAATCACATGAGGGAAAGGAGACAAATTAAAAATATAAAGAAAAAAGAAAGTAGAAAAAGGGAAAAAAGGAGAAAAAAATAGGGAAAATCGTCCAAAACGTCCCTCACATTTTGTAAAATGACTTTTTTCGTCCCTTACTTTTAAAAGTGTAATTTTATGTCCCTTACATATTCATATCGGTCAAATTTAGTCCCTAACTAGGTTTCCGATCATTTTTTGGCTGGAATCTATCACATGCCTTGCACGTGATCATTTTTTAAGGGTAAATTTATCAAATTATATTTTACATAATCTGATCTATAGTTCTCCACATTTTATAAAACAAATTTGTTCGTCCCTCACACTTTATAAAATGATTTTTTTCATCCCTCACATTTCACAAAATGAATTTCTCCATCCCTCACATTTCAAAAAATGAATATTTCCATCCCTCACTAATTATGTATGTGAGGGAAACCCTAAAAAAAAATGTGTGTGAATACATTTTGTTTAAACACAAATATATGTCTATTTGATTTTGCTTAATAATACGAATAGCATAAATATGTGTATGTGTCTATTTGATTTCACTTAACAATACGAATACCATATATTATACGTGATTATTTGATTTCATCTGGTATTAGCTAGTAAATAATCTTGCATTCATTATCCAATTGGCCAATAAAGCTATTTTCGGTCAAAATACAATAAGAATATGCAAATTAAGGTTCTATTGGTAAATATTAGTCATAATCATACAAAAAGAGAAGACGGCCCACAAGTTGGGCCCAATTACGTACATGTGTTTATACTATTATTATTAAATAAAATCAAATAGACATATATATGTGTTTAAAAAATGTATTCACACACATAATTAGTGAGAAATGAAAATTTCATTTTTTGAAATGTGAGGGATGGAGAAATTTATTTTGTGAAATGTGAGGGATGAAAAAAATCATTTTATAAAATGTGAGGGACGAAAAAATTTATTTTATAAAATGTGGAGGACTATAGATGAGATTATGTAAAATATAATTTGACAAATTTACCCTTCAAAAATGATCATGTGCCTTGCACATGTTGGATTCCGGCCAAAAAATGATCGGAAACCTAGTTAGGGACTAAATTTATCTGATGTGAATATGTAAGGGATATAAAATTACACTTTTAAAAGTGAAGGACGAAAAAAGTTATTTTACAAAATGTGAGGGACGTTTTGGACGATTTTTCCAAAAAAATAAAACAATAATTAATATGGATGGGGCACTTTTGTCATAAAACATAAAGTTGGGGAGCAAAGTGCCTATTTATTGAGGTGAGAGGGGTAAGGTGCAACTAAGGGTAAAATTCCAAAAAGCTTATACTATCTTTCAAGAGGCAAGGATGGCTTGAGTGGTGAGAATCCAGTATACGTGAGAGGTTTCGGATTCGAATCCTTCAACTTACACTATTAAAGTGTAAGTGAGAGGTATTGGGTTCGTGTCCTATAACTTACACTATTAAAAAAAAATCTGTTCATCAATATGTAATCTTATGCGGTGGTTATTGACAATAATCCCAGTAGAATATGATAGCCTAATTAAGACCAATAATTTTTTCAATCCCATCTAAGAAGTATGGCAAGAACAATTTTGTTCTTTACCTGTCAAATTACAGGTAATGCAGTTAAACTATATGCAGAAGAAGTATGGCTAAAACAATTTTGTTCTTTACCTATCAAATTACAGTAAATGCAGTTGTATAAAGATCAAATTTGAGTATTAGAGCAGTTCACAAAATAGTAATACAAGTAGTGTTGAAAATTCACCAAGCTTAGATGTATTATTATCTCTCTTTTTTTTGGTAAATTAGATCTAGTATTATCTAGTGACGGATTATGCGGAGAATTAGTCAATTAACATCCTAATTTGTATACCCACAAATTAAAAAAATTTACAGATATTTCATCATTAAGAATAAGTCAATTAACAGCCTAACTTGTAAGCCCACAAATTAAAAGCATTTACAGATATTTCACCATTACAAGGAAAAAGGATTAAGATACAGATGGGCAATATTATACATGCAAGTGCTTACGTCATTCTTTTAAATTAAAAAAGAAAAGGGATTGTTGAGGGCCTAAATATCATTGTAATTATTCCAAGAATTAGAGGTTTTAAATTCAAATTTCTCTGTCCCTTTCGATTCTTAAGTCCCATACTTTGCTTGGAAATTTTTTGTCAAATATCATTATGATTGCCAAATGATTACACTATCTATATTTAAATACAAGAATGAAAAGCATTTTCCCCGCAGCCTCCAAGTTGGACGCATTCAATCAATTTAAAACAAAGCGTACGTTCAATCAATTTATAATCATACTGTGACTATTGAGAATAATCCTAGTAGATGCATTAATACTTAGTAATATGATATCCCAATTGTATATAATAAATTTTCAATCCAGATTAAGTACTCTAACTAGAATAATGTTTTTTTTTTCCTGTCAAGTTGCATTTCATGTAATTAATTCATAAACAGCTGTATATATAAGATCAATTAATTTCAGTTTTGAAGCAGTTCAAGACAAAGTAATCCACCTTGTGTTGAACGTCTACTGCGTCAAGCTTAGATGTGGTAGACGGATTATTCGAAGAATGAGTCAATACAGCCCACAAATTTTTATACTGATATTTATCCGTTGACTCTACGGCTAACTGCTAATTCAAAGATTTTGATTCCCCTTGTCTGGTTCTTGTCTGAATTCTTCCATCAAATCTTTCAAGAAGATACCATACCACAAGTACAAAATTACTCCAAAGATTCAAGTATATGGAGGAAGAGGGAATTCAACATTTCAGTCATGATGAGCACCCTCTGATCATGATTGAAGTGCAGAAAAACAATGATAATGGTGATGGAGATGATAAGAAAGTAGAAATCTGCTACGGGTGTCAAAAACAAATTTTGGAGCCTACAGCATATTGTTGCTTCAGCTGCAATTTCTTTCTCCACAAACCATGTGCAGAAATTCCTTTGCAGATTACTCATCCGATGCATCCCAAGCATCCATTAGTCCTCCATAGGGAGCCACCTTATTCTTCTGGTAGTTGTACTTGTCATGCTTGTGGCCAAAAGGGTTGGAAATTTTTCACCTACAATTGTTCCTTTTGCAAATTTGATCTCGATATATCGTGTGCTTCTCAAGATCGGTGAGGCAATATTGATTGAGTCTTCATTATCGATTGCGTTTTATGTTTTTGGTAATTTAATTTGTTGTGTTCTTACTTCTTACTAGTATTCATTGTCATTTTTTTCACCTCTTTTTTTTTGGGGGCCATTGGGGTAACATATAGTAAGCGGCCCTAGAAGATCTCTAAATTTCAATTTTGCCCCATTATTATTTCAAATTGCAATATTTAACCCCTCTTTAACTTTAAAATTTGATGAATCTAACATAGTTTGTCAATGATTCATTAATAAGTTTATCTGAACTGGTCTTTGTTACCGATGTTAGCTCCCAGGGCAAATTTACCTATACTGACTTCCCCCTATTTAAGGTTGACTACCTCCAACAGCTATAGAAATAAGTGCACTTTTTTTTTGCGAGATTTTTTAATAAAAATGTTAATTTCAAATTTCATTTTTTGGCAGGACGTTCTGGTTTAGTTTTTTTCGTACTAGTTTAGTTGATAGGGAAAAATTCACTTTTCATCCTCAAATTTTGTGACGAAGACACATTTGGTCCCCAAACTTTTCGTCAGAACACATTGAGTACATGAATTAACGATTTTTTGCCACATTTAGTCAAAAAACGGAAATTTACTCAATTTGGATGGTGAAGACCACGTGGCTGTTAACAAATGTCCAAATATCAATTTATAGCCAACACAAGTCAGACACAAGTCCACACTTGACTCTCTCTCTAATCCACTGCTTTTCTTCTCCAAGTTTCCCCCTTTCTCACCGAGCTAATGAAGTGAAAAGCTGCTTGAGATTAGCAGAGTTAATGGAGTGATTCAACAAATTTTTCCCAATCCAGTATATTTAATATAAGTTAAATGATTCAAAGTAAAATGCTCATAAATAACTATTATTTTGTTCGTGTAATAGAGGAAACCCATAAAGAGCTGATATGTTATGGGTAATTTTTTTTTTTACTTTCACTTATTTAATTTATGTTAAATACAAAACCTACTAGTTTTCCTTTCGTAAAAATATTAGTATATCATTTTTTAAATTTTACTTACAAACATTTATGTATTTAACATAAATTATATGATTCAGAGTAAAATGCCTATAAATAGCTAGTACTTTATTCATATAATAGAAGAAACCCGTAAAGAGCTAGTAAAAAGTGGGTAATTTCTTTTTTTACTTTCACGTATTTAATTTATGTTAAATATAAAATCTACTAGTTTTGCTTTCATAATAATATTAGTGTAACACTTTTTGAATTTCACTTATCAACATTTATGTATTTAATATAAAATAAATGATTCAAAGTAAAAAGCTCATAAATAGCTAGTATTTTATTCATATAATGGAAAAAAATCATAAAGAACTGGTATATTATGAACAATTTTTTTTACTTTCAAATATTTCATTTATATTAAATACAAAACATGCTAGTTTTTCTTTCGTAAAAATATTTGTGTAACGGCTTTTGAATTTTATTTGCAAATATTTATGTATTTAACATAAATTAAATGATTCAGAATAAAATGCCGATAAAAACCTGGTACTTGGTTCATGTAATAGAGAAAAACCGTAAAGAGTTGGTACTTTATGGGATATTTCTTTTTTTAAAAATATTTAATTTATGTTAAATAGATAACCTACTAGTTTTTTTCGTAAGAAATTACTGTAACACTTTTTGAATTTTACTTAAAAATATTTATATATTTGTTATAAATTGAATGTTTGAGAGTAAAATGTCCACAAAAGCTAGTATTTTGAATAGGTAATGCCTATTAAGTAAGAACTTAAAATAATACCAAAATGGACAACTTGTTCAAGGAATTGTGCAATGTCCACAAAAAGTTGACTTGTGTTGGTTATATATTGATATTTGAACATTTGTTAACGGCCACGTGGTCTTCACCGTTCAAATTGAGTAAATTCCCGTTTTTTGACTAAATGTGGCGAAAAATCGTTAATTCATGTACTCAATGTGTTCTGACGAAAAGTTTGGGGACCAAATATGTCTTGGTCACAAAGTTTGAGGATGAAAAGTGGATTTTTCCCTTAGTTGATATAAATGGCAGAAAATTCACAAAATGAAGGGCACTTGAATCACATTGAAAATTAAAGGGGGTTAAATATGTGATGTAATCAAAAGAATAAGGGATGCAAATTGGCATAAGGAGAAAGTTGAGGGCTTAAACTGTATTTTACCCTTATTTATTCATTAACTATACGTCCCCGTATTTATCTATTTATTCATTATGTTATGTGTTCTTTTTTTTCTTTTTTCTTTTATTTGGTGGCATGTTGGTTATATATTGATATTTGAACATTTGTTAACGGCCACGTGGTCTTCACCGTTCAAATTGAGTAAATTCCCGTTTTTTGACTAAATGTGGCGAAAAATCGTTAATTCATGTACTCAATATGTTCTGACGAAAAGTTTGGGGACCAAATGTGTCTTGGTCACAAAGTTTGAGGATGAAAAGTGGATTTTTCCCTTAGTTGATATAAATGGCAGAAAATTCACAAAATGAAGGGCACTTGAATCACATTGAAAATTAAAGGGGGTTAAATATGTGATGTAATCAAAAGAATAAGGGATGCAAATTGGCATAAGGAGAACGTTGAGGGCTTAAACTGTATTTTACCCTTATTTATTCATTAACTATACGTCCCCGTATTTATCTATTTATTCATGGGATAATTTCAGAAACCTCCCCTGAGGTTTCTGACACTTTCACTGACATCCCCTGAGGTTCTCAAAATTTCACTTACCTCCCTTGCTTTTGATTTTGTGGTAACAATCCAGTCCAAATCAGATTAAAATATTATTTTCATGTGTGAGAAGGTATTTTTATTCCATAGCTACCCTTTGCAGAAGTTGTATTAGTAGAAGATTCAAAGAAGAATAAATGATTTGGACTAATTAGTAAAGTTGAGGGGGGGTAAGTGCAATACAAAAAATTGCATGCACCAAATGTGCCATGCAACAGTTATTTGGCAGATTTTGCAACGGCTAGCTGCAAATTGCAACGGCCAGAAGGTTTGCTGTTTCAGTAGCAATAGCATATAAAGCAAAGCAACTTAACTACCTCTGAGGTTTCAAGCTATTAACATTCTTTGCTACTAATTTGGAGTGATAACAAGTGCATTTGCTGTGCTACAATTAGAGCTCTGAGTAAAAAGTTTTAGCTGCAACCATGGCCTCTTCAAGCCATAGGGGAGAATCATGGAATTCACCTACATCTTTCTCCATTAAAAACAGGTTTTGCCGCTGTAATCGCAAAGCAACCGTAATGATATCAGAGAGTGAAAGGAATCCAGACAAGTTGTATTTCTATTGAGAAATTTCCAACTTTGTGATGAATTTTAAAAAAATTCTACAAAAGGGGTGATTTTGGGTTTAATTTCCGTCAGGGGGGTCTTCGCATTTGTGAATTTCACAAATGCGAGCTTACAAGAGCTCGCATTCGTGGAATGCGAGCTCTGGTTATTGAGCTCGCATTCCACGAATGCGAGCTCTTCTCAATTTTTTTTTTCCTTTTTTAAGAGCTAGGGAATTATTTCTAGGAAGCAAATGCGAGCTCTTATCTTTTTTATTTTGGTATTTTTTGAGAGGTAGGGAATTATTTGCAGAAAGCTTCTAATTTTTGTTTTAAAAAATGTTGCAAATATTTAAAATTTTGCAAATAGCTCGCATTTGTTAAATTTGACCTGCAAAAATTGTATTTAACTTTTTTGTTAGATTTCGCATTTATAAGTATGACTTGTAGAAAATTAGATTCAAATTTAGATGTATTAGGGTTTTAAAAATATTATATAAGTGATAAAAATTTTATAAATTGTAAAAATAAAATCAAACTGCTTGGATAATTAAATGTTATATTTGCATAAGAAATAATACAATAATCATAATAATGATAATACAATAATATTGGTGTAATAAAACTGCCATTAATTTAAATATTTACTTATAATGCCCAAAGAGTCTAATTACCAATTTTTTCTTCTCGCGCTCAAATATAACATTAACCCGCATGCGAGCTAACCTTGAAATAGAAAAAACACAGAATCCCGCTTGCGGGTTTCAGGAGTATTCGGATATTCTCATATGCACCTATGCAAATCGAACCAATCGGATATCTTATCCGTATCCCATTTTTTTAAATAAAAATCTTATAAATTTGAAAAATAAAATCAAATTTAGATGTATTAGGGTTTTAAAAATATTATATAAATCAAGTTTCTATTATTGTTGTTAAGCTTAATTAATCATATCAGATGCCATTATGTAACTAAACGGTAGTAATTAACCCCAACTACTTGGGATATATCTGTAATTTTGGCCCTGATGACGTCAGAAAAGGGGCCCAATTTTTTATCAAGGGAGGTAAGTGAAATTTTGAGAACCTCAGGGGATGTCAGTGAAAGTGTCAGAAACCTCAGGGGAGGTTTCTGAAATTATCCCTTTATTCATTATGTTATGTGTTCTTTTTTTCTTTTTTCTTTTATTTGGTGGCCCTTTTCCCTAAAAAGATAAAAGTGGCATCATATTATTCTGATTTTTGAATTTTCTTTTCTTGTAGGTTTGCTAGAGAAGGACAATCAGATTTGGGAGATCCAGGCAGAAATTTGGTCAAACTGTCCTCCAATGATGCAGCACAAAACTTCATCAAACTTTCTCTTCTTCAGTGCAGCATTACTAGTAGTCTCAGAAAAATGAGTACTGAAGAAAAGATAGTAGTATCTACGCACAATCACCCACTTGTTCCTTCCAAGATGATGCAAACCAAACATGAGATTAAGAGTGCTGCTGCTGCTGATCATGAAGAAGCAATACGATCAATTTGTGACTGATCCTCACTATGCTTGAGCCTATTCTCTTGTCTGATCCTCACTATCCTTGCGCTGAAGGCGATTACTTTCTCCATAAGACTTGTTATCAATTTCCTGATGAACTACAAACCCCAAAACATCCCGAGCATTCGCTTACACCGATGACAGTATTGGCTGTTGCTGGCTACTTTAGGTGTCATGCCTGTCTAAAGGAGGGAAATTGTCTCTACTATGAATGCAAATGCTGTAAATTCTACATTTGTATCAAGTGCGTGAGTGCGAGCTTGACATCAGCTGTTTTGCACAATTCTCATAAGCATCTCTTAACTCAGGTTGAAAACACAAATCGGATAACGTGCAATGCCTGTGGCTTTGACAGAGGTAGTTTTGGATTTGGTTGTGAAGATTGCCATTTTTATTTGGACTGCGAGTGTGCCCTGATGCTGCCTACAACCAAACAGAAATGGGACGAGCATGTGCTCGTGTTAACTTATCCTCCTTTTGTTGAGCATCCAGATGAATTTTGCTGTGCGATCTGTGACCTCCAAATGAATCCCAATGAATGGATGTACCACTGTCACGAATGTGACCAATTGTTTCATCCTTGGTGCATTCCCCAGATTCATCAAAATACCAAGTTTGGCGTGCCATGTATGTAGATGAGCACTCTCACCCTCTCTCCCATATGCCCGAGGCATATGACCAAGCATTCTGCTATGGCTGTGATAATAGTTTTGATAATGGGGAAGAGGCTTTTCAATGCACAGAGTGCAGCTATTGTCTCTGTGCAGATTGTGCTTGCAAAAGGGCAGTTCTAAATCCTTGAGTACTCACTTGAAACTACATAGAAGTAGTTTTACAGCTTGCACGTGTACAACAATTGCTATTGATAACTCAACAGAACACTGTCTAATTGAGCTTTATATGCAATATGATGCATAGAGTTTTCAATACTGATTTACGTTTCTGTTTGGGGAAACTTAAATTCGTTTTGGGGGCTGGACTTGTTCATCTCGTGTAAATAAGTGAGTTGAGATATACACGCCTTATTGATGAATCACTCAATTTTCATTCAGCAATTGGAAGCCATTAAACATTGAACAGTTCAGCAACTTGATAATAGAACACACGAATTCATGATCGTCTTTATTCTATTCAAAATTATCTTATCAAGCAGAGTCAAACAGAGAATGCAAACTCATCTATTTATTACTATTATTCTATTAATTGCAGCATTTAAACAAATTAAGTAGAAAAATACTTCAGCAAACCCTTGTGACCCAAAACAAGAACATTGAGTGGGAAAAGCCTAAAATGAATACATTTTGAGGTCTAACAGGATTTTTGGGTTTGCTGATTTTCTTTGGGTTCCTCTGAGCAGTTCTGTTCTAGTCCTTGTTAGGTGACTTTTCAGTTCTTGCAAATATTCTGTTGAAACATGTCCAGTTTTAAAAATAGCAAAAACATGATGGCCATAGCATACAAGAACGTTGCCATAACACTGGAAAACTGGATAGTTGCAGCAGTTCCTGTTGACCGCACAGGCTTAAGGAAACTTGCAGCAGAACTGATAGCAGCTAGAGTTGTATTAGATGCAGGAAAACTCTTGCAACTTCCACAAGGCGCGCCCCTGCCTGCAAGGTTGTCTTTTAGATCTTTGAGAGTTAAGAGTTTTAGAGCAAGTGCAATTGCAGATGCTATATTAGCAGCTAATTGAACAGGAAAATAGATAATCCCTTCTCGTAATTTTCCTCTCTCAGCAATAAAGGATGCTGAAACAAATCAAAACCATGGTTTTAAACTCTGGCAAAGTCATTTTGAATTAATATGAGTCAACTATCTGCTCTGTGAAGTGTTTTACATGAGATAATATAAATCTCCTAATATGTTTCACAGCCCAATAATCAATACAGTTGATATTGCAGTCTGATAATCAAATCAGAGTCCTAAATGAGTGTAATTGTGTTTTCCCTGAAAATTTTACTTTTATCATTGCAAAATCAAGACCTTCTGCAGAAAATATATTGACAAACCTGACAGGCAGTTACAGTAGTGCATCCACATAATGTTTGGCCATTCATCCTGTCCACAGCATCAAATACACCTCCTCCATCACTACGCTGCAAAAGCTCCAGTCCCAATTCTTAGTCCTCTATCAGGATCAAGAAATTCGTTGAAATAAAATTTACATACCAAGTAAAAATTGATGGCCAAAATATTTGGCATGATGTTGCCTGCTGCTTTGGAGAAAAAGGGATGAACTGTTCGAGTTGAGTGGCTTTTATTCCTTCTTGTTTGGGCATGAACCAGGCACCACTCCCAGATCTCTGGCTGAAACCTTTACGAATTAGTAAATTGCTGATGCACAAATTGAAATACAGACCACATTTACAATGAACAACATTCCTACAAATAGAACACATACGTTCATTTTCCACCATGTGATTCCACTGACAAGCAATTCCTTCAGTTTCTTCCTAGGAGGGATCAGAAGTGAAAACTAGAAACCGGTAATTTGCTTTTTTCATGTCAGTAATAGTCGGCCAGCCCCAGCCAATCTTGGGCATCTTAGAAAGAGGAAAACAATATTTGTCCAAGCTAGCATTGGCAAATCACTTTGTCAAGCCTTTGGGGGCATGAACATAGTCCTCAATTATGATGGTAACAATATCGGTTGGGTTTGCATTCGAGAATGCTTCCACTTCCTTTAATGTGACAATTGCAGGCTCCTAAGAGAAATGCATATAATCTTATCACAAGATATACATAATCAACAACCAAATTAAACCAGTCAAATCATGAACACAGAGAGTATGATTAGTAGAGTCACAAAAGCGGTGAAGTTGTAACACTGGCCACGAAACGAGTGGCAGAGCCAGATGTCATCCTCGAAATCATACATATCCAACATCAATCCCCTTACTCCATTCTAAAGAGCATCCAACATCAATCCCCTCACTCCATTCTAAAGAGCATTAAAAAAACACAACAACAATAAATCAAATTCAAAATACACTAATAAAAATGTGGCTTTGCATCTTAGTGAAGAATGAGCAAGGAATAAGAAACACATACTCTCAATTGATTAGTAAATAGTAATGCTATCCTCTTGATTGTAAAATGTGACTCTTTCAGCATCTGTTAAAGATGCTGCATCCACAATTGAGAATACATTATGAGTCACCAGCCATGTGTACTTGTTAAATGGAAGCCCATTGCTCTAAGAGAATTTCACAAGACAACAAGACTTGTAAACAAATAATGTGAACTAGGAAAGACAAGTGCTACAATCATGGAAAGAGAGAAAAAAGGGGATGAGGCATTGGATTATTACAATTGAAGTAGGGATGATGGCTTTTCCCCTGGCGCAGAATGATCGAGTCTTTCTTATTGATGGGCAGCTTCCACAATGTAAGGCAGGCCCACAATCAGCTGAAGTGGTACAAGAGTCCAAAAGCTGTCAAATGTTGCAAAATTCAGCTGCAAATTCTGAATTGGAAACTGAAAAATCAAAACCAGGAACTAAGTAAACTTGGTAATTGCCTGTGGAGCAAGCGTTGGAGCTGATAAAGGCGACAGACGAAAGTAGGACAAGTAGCAAAATAAAAAAGGGTTGGTTTCTGTTTCCATTTTCAGCAAAGGTTTTGACAGCCCTTCTGCCGATGCTGCTGATGATGTTGAAGTTGCTGCACCTCTTGCCCATACTGATACTGCGGCAGTAGTCTTCTGCAAAACACCCCACCAAGCTATACTGATGGATATATAGTTTTGCTTACCTACAATTGGAAGTAGCCAAAGGGAAATGAACAGTGCAAATTGTGACAGCCACTGCTGCAATTAGAGTGTATTTATTTTTGTGTTTTTTTTTTTTGGGGGGGGGGGGGGTGGGGGTGTGTGTGTGTGTTTCTTGCTCTCTCCAGCCTACAGATTTGCCTGCAGCTGTTCTACTTTGATGACTTTTATTGTGTTTTCTTTGTTATTTATCCATATCGGCCTCGTGCACATGGGCTTGCCTTTGTCCTACCAACCTTGGCTAGGCTGATTGCTTCTTTTTTTCATCTTTTTTTTTTTAATGTATTTTCATATTCATTCCAGCATCAAACTTGATCATCAGAAGATTTGGCTCCAGACCACTACTACACATGAAACTACATTGACAGTCAAGTCAATCCAAATTAAGAAATTAAGATTGATTTATGAAATGAGGACAGATATATCTCAATAAGGTATGGATATTGCACAGGTTTCACACTAATGTCATTAAGCTAAATAGAGAGGCAAATGGTCAGTGTCTGAACACAAGAAGTAAATATTATGTTCTAGGTATTAGAATAAACTAACAGATTAATTCATGATAGAAGGGAATTTTTTTTCCGCAATCAATGTTGGGTGAAGAAAGGACGTAATGCCAACGATATAGCCATATTTTGGGCATAATTTCCATTGAATGCAACTTTCATGTCATTAATAACTTATTTGGCATCTCAAAGTGCTAATGGTTCGCCCCTTCTGGGCATGCACTCTCATGCATAGCTTGTGGCACAGAATTAAATACATAATTATTGGAATGCCTTTGTGAGGATCTCAAAATTTCATTAATTTTTTAAAATTAAAATTAAAATATTATTTAAATGTTGAAATTATTAAATAATATGTATTTATATTTAATAATGTGTATTTATCTTAGTAATGATGTTTTCACTTATAAAAATGTTATATTTTAATTTACATGAATTTTTAAAAATTTATTTGACGATTCGCGTTCGACTAAGCATTAGGGTAAATTTTTGCGCACTGACGCGCAATGTTGCCCTAAGTTGAAATGTAGGATATGTAGAGGTTATAAAAATGTACAACTAAGTTGAGGATGTGTTAAATGGAGAATTTCTACCAGTAAATAAAATTCTAGCACGTAAACGCGGTTCAATTCAAAATTTTCCCACCATTATTAGCATGCCCAAAAGTCAATTAGACTACTCCCTAGACTACCACAATTTTCCTCCCATCTTGTCACCAGCTACCACCCTTTTCTTACCCCTCTAAACTTCCGCTCCTCTGCTGCAAGAAGAAGCAGAAACCGCTGCCTTCCAAGCTCCAACAGCCTCTCATCTTCAGCCACTCACACCCAGTCTTCAAGCTTCCCTTTTCAGCTTCCACCTCCACTTCTTGCTGCTGTCCAGATCGAGCAAGAGGAAGGAGAGGATCGTTGTTGCTGCTGCTACTCTCGCTGCTCCTGCTGCTGCTACTACTGCTGGGTTGTTCGGACCAGGGTGAAGGAGAAAAACCAGCTTCCTATTTCTTCCTTCCACCAACCACAGAACCACCTCAATCTCACCAAAAACCTCAGAACCCCAGCCCTCTTCATCTTCAGTCACTGCTGTGCTGCTGCGGTGATTGGCCAGACCGAGAGGGAAACAGAGAGCAAGGGAGCCGGCTGATCCTCTGTGGTTCTAGAAGCAACTTGAGGAACTAGACAATACATTTAGCTAGTAAACAACCCACTTGAAGGTAACAAACTCCAGCTTAGCACCTTAGCAAAAAATTTCAGATTTTGCAGCTTGTGGTTCTTGAAATGTTAGCTTGCGTTCGTGAAACCTGTTGGGTTGCTGAACCTCTAAGCTAATGATTGATGAAGCTAGAGGTGTTTTATGTGTTTATATGTGTGTTTTGTGCTGGGTAAATGTTTGGGAAATTTTAAGAATGAAAATGGAGAGCTGGCCGAAATGGGAAGGCAAAATTCCAGCTTGGTTACCGGTTGTTGTTTTGCAATTTTTACTTAGGTAATGAACTGGATTGCTTGTTGGGAGGTTAGACTAGTTAGTTGTGATTGTTATGGACTTAAAGTATGACTTATAAGTTGAAAATGGTTGAGCAAAAAGAGGAGAAAATTCTGCTCTGCTATAGCCGCACAAACAGGCTTGATTTTCTTCCATTTTTACCCGAATTTTTGAGCTGGATTTTGTGAAGTTATTGGGTTATTTAAATCATGTATATGTTCACCTATATGTGTAGAGTAGTTTTGGTGAAAATGCAGCTTTGGTACAATGGGAAATTTCATTGAAAAATCAAAGAGAAAAATGTCCCTTGAGCTACCCGAAAATTCTGGAAATTTTCCAGATTTTGGTCGAATTTTTGGGGGTTGATTTCGACAAATTTGTGAACTATTTGAGCTGTATACATGTTTACCAATATGTGTAGTATTGTTTGGGGGAAAATGTAGCTTTTGGGTAGTTGAAAAGTTTTGGACAAATTGAAGAGCAAATGGACTGCTTGTACCGAATGCACTTGAAAATTTTCCCAGCTTTACATGAGACATGTTGAATAATTTTCACATTAACATGAACCCAATTTGATTTGTGTTTAGTTAAGGGGTGTGTATAGCTCCATTTGGGGACAAAATCTAGTAGAGTTTACGTTCAAAAGTGGGCCAAAATTTTATTCTTCACGAGGCTACCAAAACAGAAATTTTGTTTGAAATTAGAAATGATTTTGACGTTTGGATTTCATTTTGATTAAATGTGAACTAAATTGTCCCGAAAATGTTTTCTAGCATTAACCTTTGTTACTAGGTCCACTTTGAGTCAATAACCTTGAATTTTATTAGACCAAATGCCCTATTTCGAGAAATATGCCAAATTTGGAAATTTTCTTGAAAACTCAAGTTTTTGCCTTCATGAAAATCCTTGAACCAAGTTGGTCAATGGAATCTGGCAAACTTAAGGAGTTTCTATTTTATAGAAATTCCAACGGCTAGTTTTACTTGGTTTATATGATTTCCTCTTAAAAGAATTTTTCAAGATATTTTTGGGGAAAATTAGAGGGGAAAATTCTTCTAAATGGTTAAATGTGATTTTTCTCAACTTGTAACACCAAAGGGGTGTTAATTGCTTATACGACTCTAGAACTTGATTATTGGAATATTTGACCAATTTAGCAAGTTTTTGGTTTTAAAAAAACCTCAAAATTTAATTTCACTTGAAATTTGTGGATTTCACTTTGAGAAAACGATTAATGCTAGTTTGGGATTTTTGAGTGAAATTAAATGCTATAAGACTTGAGTTTGTTTGGGATTTTTGAGTGAAATTAAATGCTAGAAGACTTGAGTAAACTCGCCAACTCAAAAGTAGAAATTTACGTGAATTATTTGTATGTTTTTAGGAGTTGGTGAAGGGCACAACCTCGGTCAAAGTTTGGAATTCTAGACACTTCACTTAAGGTGAGTGTCTTTTGCATGAATCGCGTTTAATTGCTAGTTGAACTACTTGTTAAAAGTACTTGCTAGAGATACCATGAAATGTTATATGCTATGTGATTGCTTGAAATACCATAAGTACAAGTGTTGTAATGTCGATTGGAGCGTGGTCTCGTCGACTAAATAAACCAAACGGATGCACGTACCACTCTCTATTACAGTGGGAGGTACCTCTCTGCCGTCTTGGTAAAAGTGCTTGCAAAATTCGTGTTGGAGACGGGCCCGAAAATAAGGGGGAAGTTGTTGCTAGGAGACGTGTAGATTAGGGAAAATATCTACATGGAAATTAGGTAGTGAAAGTTGACGGAGTGTCAACTACTATAAATTACCTGATCAAGCGCGAGGACTTTGGCTCCTGAGAGCCCCGTATCCTTTTTTTGTCATGTTACCTCGTTTTTCTAAATTGTTAATTGCTTACTTGTCCATTTGTACTTGTTAAATTGCCCTATGTGAATTGCATGTTTCGAGGCACCACTGAGCTATTGGCTCATCGTTTCCAATTTGTTTTCCTTGACAGGTTCTGAAATGCATGAAGTCTTGGAGAACTAGAAAAGAAATGTTATATTTTGAATGCCCACTTTTGTAATTGTACTTTGGGAGATACTTTAATATCTTTTGGATGATTTTCTTGTGCCTTTGGGAAAATGTGAATCCTGTGGTGCTTCTGTGCCCTGGATTAGGAACTTTAAATTATAAATTAAGTATTTTAAGCTTGACGTTTTCGTTGGTACTTGGAATTGTATTTTCGGGCTGTATAAATTGAATTGTATGATTTATTTAAGTACTTAGCTTGCTCAAGGAGTAAGGTTTAT